TTATGAAATACATCAAACCAATCTCTATGAAATACTACAAAAGATATTCTTAATCACTCGTGAAGGACTTGTTGCTGAAGTAAGGATTTTAAAAAGCATTCCAAATGTTCCAAATGGCTYATCAACAAAAACAGTTTACTATTGGCTAAACTTTTTTTAAAAAAATCGAAGACAAAACATTTTTCTTAATTTAAAAAAAGTTAAAACTTAAGGTTAAAGATTAGAACCTTTTTACTATTGTTTATTGGACAAGAAAAATTAATAAACATTCAAAATGAAGAAGTGATTAATRAATTAAAACCTATGAATAATGAAAGGGGGTGAAGATAATTTTTATAAGTTTATAAATATTAACTATATTAATTTTTATAAAAAAAAATTGGTATATCAACTAATAAGTATTTAAAAATTAAATTGTAATAGTTAAAAATTATTTAATTGCATTTCAGTATAAAAAATTGTCTTAAATACGAAAAATAAATAGCTATTTATTTTTGGTGTTGGCAAATATACAATGAACCTTATAGCTAAAAATGTGCTGCACCTGATCGGGAATTCCAYGCATGCCTATGTATACCACTATTATAATATGATAACCAGATGTTGTTAAACGTATGTTGCAGATGTGTAAATCGTAATGCGAAGATGGTGTGTTCCGAATGTCCAATGGTCCCAGTTGGTGTTGTGCGCCACCGTGCTGTTCCTGCTGGGCGGCCTGCACATCTACAGAGGCCCCAACGGTGGGCCACTGCAGGCTTTGGACGATGTGGTCGACGACGAGGACACATCCGGTTCTACCCGGACGACTCAAGACGATCGAGCGTATCGAAGACTCAGGTTTCCGAAGACCAGCAGACGATTGCCTCAGGTGGGTGCAGACAAAATTCGGAAATAACAACGAAACATATRCAATATATAATGTAGTATACAGGCGTACACTTTAAGTCCATGGGCATCAGTATTTAGTGTAAAATCATAATAATTTTTCAAAACTTAATCGGCTGTACACTCTTTGAAATATAAAACACAACATTTTGACAGCACAACTGTTCGTGTACTTGTAAAATTCATTGGCATAACATTATTAATTTATGATAAAACCTCGACACGTGGATATAATATTATAACATAAAAACACTTCATAGTTCAAAGTGTTATATTTGTATGATARATACTCGACCATTGAATACTCTGCCTAGGTGTTTGGCTATATTTTACACCACAAACTTTTTACGCCGTTCTTTGATATAAGCTAAAAATAGTTAATAATATTAAAATTAAATATTGTAATAATTAAATGTTAACAGTAAATTAAATGCAATGTTTTCGATAACATTTAATTCAACCCACTATATTATTAATAAAGAATAAATAAATAAACTTCAAAAACATGTTATTGTTATTACAACACTANTATTTATGTAGAACCCGTATATACTTTACCTTAGTAAAATAAAAATGTGTATCCAATTTTTTATCATCTTTTGAAATCTTTAACTAATTTCAATATTTGAACAAAATTGAATAAATTATTTAATCCACTAATACGCCTCAGCAAACATCACAATATTACAAGTTTATAATAAGTAGGTAGGTACCTAAAATACATAAAACCACGATTATCCAAAAATAGTGAAAATTAATATCATGTTGAATTAAATATTCCATTTCTTTAAGTAATTAATTTCTAAATATAAATGAGAATCTTAAAATTAATATATGAACCTATATTAAACATTTCAATATTTAATAATGATACATTTATATAAAACTAGAATGTAAAATTCAATTTTTAATTCAATATTCTGTATATGATTTCTGTATAATTCAACTAGGTATGTAARTACCTACTGATAATTTGTATAAATTGTGATTTATCTCAACATTAAATTATAGTAGGTAAAATAACGTATAAGTTAAACAAACATTAATTGTTCAACGTAATGAATTAAAACATTTAATTTAAAATAAAAATTTATATCTTGGTTAAGCCAAGAATAATAGCTCTGATTTTTTTATTGTTTGCTTAATTTATACAACAGCCTAATTGGTTATTTTATGCTTAAGTTATACATCGAAATAAATATTATACTTCAATGACAAAAACGTTACACTAAATATACAAAATAATATTATATTGTRATATTAGGTATATCTTAATATTCAAATAATTTTAATTAATGGTATATATTGTTATAGATTTTAAAAGTTATTGATAAATATTACTTTTTTTTTTGACACAAGAATAAATTATCAAAATGTTTTTAGTACAATCATGAGATTAACTCCTTTATTATTTTCATTTTTTACCATCTATTTACTAGCATTTTTTTTTATGTATTTGTCTAAAAATCTATGCATTTTCAACGTAGCTTTCACAAAGTTTCAAATGTTGGTATGYGTGTTAATTCTTAATATTAGAGTAAACATTATTAAACGGCATTAAATATGATAATGTGTTTTAATCAACAGTAGTTGTCTATAAGTATTTTATTATCGATCTAATCCGCGACGCGTTGCYGCATTGGTGAATATAATTTAATCATGGGATATACCACCGCAGGCGTGCGCACGGTTGCAGCACATGCAGCCTAGGCTACATCTGCTTTTTCTGTGGCACCAATTTTTTTTTCTACTTGTTTGTGATACGATTGTTAGTTATACTCACGGATTAAAATATATTTTAGTCTGCGGTGTAAAAGGTAATAGTCTTTTTAAACAGTTGCAAACATTTGAATTTATTTTTGGTTTATCCGCGATGGAATCTATTTTTT